TAACAGCAGTTACAGAATTAATTCATAATTATGGAAGCTACCAATTACTGTAGGCCTAATGTTAATGATAGGGTAAATTTAGGCAGGGACTTACATAGTATACTTTGTTTCTTTAATGGCTGGACCATGCCTGAACTCTGTTAGTCGTCTATTCAGAACAAAGCTTTTCATTTCACAATTAGAAATATGGCGCAAGATGCACATGCAGAGGCCAATCTAGGATGTGGCAGGTATGGCACATGCCCTGGCTCCGCTTGAGGGGAATGTCAGTCAATGAGCAGTTTCTATTTGCCATTGCAGTTTCCATCACCAGCTGTAAGAGGTCATTCAGCAATTTAAAACTCATTGCCATAGGTGCTGTATTCTGTAGATATGTCTCTGTGTGCATGCCCGAGGAAAGGTGATACAGTCACTTAAATTCATTTTCAGATATAAATTATGTCAAACTCTATGGAGCACAGTTCCACTTGGAAGCAGGTTTTTCGCGGGGAAAGGATAGAAAAGAACTATCCTGTGTAGTTGTGGGTAAAGTAGAGAGTGATCCTGATGGGAAAATTTAACACTGCAAAGCTAACTTTGCCTTTGTCCAAATTTCACATAGGTTTAGCCCAGGTAAGATTTGTGAGGAGCAGATGGAAGAATTGACAGGAAGGGCAGACCTCTGAGACAGTGGTGTTTCACCTTGGCTATACATTGTAATGACCTGGGGATCTTTAAAAATATACTGATGCCTGGATCCCACCTTCAGGGATTCTGAATTGACTGGTCTGGGGTGTGGCCTGGACATCACCATTTTTAAAAGCTCTCCCACCAATCCTAATGTGCTACAAAGTTTGGAGCTACTGTTCAAATATACTCCTGCACTTCACCCACCTATTTTTCTCTTTGTTCTTCCCAACCATTTTCTCCCAAGTCTAAAGCAGCAGTGTGATGGGGCACCAGGCTTGAAGGGGAAGCCACCTGGTTCCCTTTGTCCTAGTCATTTTCAGCTCTTTGTAAATATCGGTCTTAATCCTATATCCATCCCAGACTTTGCATGTGACCCAGGATAGTTTACCTCACCTTATCTGCTATCTAAGCACACCATTACCAGCTTAGGTTATGCTTATGTGTGTGACTTCATCCATGGCTGCTTAAGAATCCTTCCCCCCTTTTCAGGACAGGCAGTAAGTGCAAAGTGCTGAGAAACAGAGGGTTCCTCTTACAGGTGGCTGTTGATCCGTCACCTTTCACCAGGGACTAAATTTACCTTAAAGAAGAGTGCAGATCAAATTACGCATCCGAAAGCAAGTTTCATTAAAGAGCAAAAAAGAGGACAGTGTTTCCCAGGAGAAGATGAAAAGAAAAGGATTTCTTTTCTTGTCGGAAGACTTGACAAAACAGCAACTTGATATCAAATGTTCAATGCTAATTAACAAATGCTCAGTAGAAGGCCTCCATCTGATTCCCTCTCCCTTACTGAAGCCAGACAGCACACGGTGAGTAGGAGCCACACAGGGCTCTTTCTCTAGCATCATGGAGGCCACACAATATTGATGTGCATGAGAAAACACTGGGTAGGAGTCAGAAACCTGAATGCTTGCTTCACTGAATGACTGTGAATTCAGAAAAGTTCCTTAACCTTCTGAAGCTTCGATTTCTTTATTTGTAAAATAAACCACATTGCACTAACCTGTGACTTGTCACAGATGGAACAGACCCTCCTCTCCTTCCTTATAAGGGTCAGGCCCAGAAGCACTGACGAGAGCCCATCTGTTTCACAGCCATAATTCACAGGCTCAAGATCATTATGATTATCTGAAGTTTCAGAACATAGTTCAGTAAAATGTTTTCCTTGTTAAAAAAAAAAAAAAACAGGCAAACTTTATATTGAAAAGTGTAGTGGATGTTCTACTAATATTTTAATTTGGTTGTTTCAGTCCTCCCCCATCCCCCCCAAAAAAAAGACTCCCTATTCTTGGTATGGAGTCCCTGGGTGGTGTGCAAATGCAAATGGTTAACATGCTTGGCTGCTAACAAAGGTTGGAAGTTTGAGTCCATCCAGAAGCACCTCAGAAGACGGGCCTGGCAACCTGCTTCTGAAAAATCAGTCATTGAAAACTCTATGGAGCACAGTTCCATTCTGACAGACATGGGGAAATTTTTTAATTCTTTTTTTTTTTTTTCAAACCAAAGGTACCACATATTTATTAATCATTCAATCTCTTCGTGTGGAAGCATAAATGTTGTTGTTGTTACATGCCGTCAAGTTGGACCCAACTCATAGCAACCCCTCCTTGGGTTTCTGAGGCAGTATCACTACGGAAGTAGATTGCCCCATCTTCCTTCCGAGGCGTGGCTGGTGGGCTTGAACCGCCAGCCTTCTGGTTAGCAGTCAAGTGCCTTTAGGCACTACACTACCAGAGCTCCCATAAATTGAAAGGAAGAATCCAGAAGTTGCCCCAAAACATGTTCAATTGATCAGATCATGGTGAAATATCAAACTTGGTAGAATATTAGTGAACCTAGGTTGAGATGTGTGCTACCACATGCACGACTCCTTACAGACCCAGCTTAGTTCTTCTCCAAGGTCTCCTCTTGGAGTTGACCTGATTTTATTGCCAGTTTTCATTCAAATCCATCCGGGAATGGGCCGATTCTGCTTTTGTTTCTTGGTCAGGAATCTCTTGATCCTGAAAGTCTTATGAGAAGACACAACAAGGATGGAAGGCAGCCATACTCAGCCCGATGGCGGAGAAAGGGAGAAAGCAACTTTTTTATTCTTGATATACGCCAAAGATATTAGCTAATATCTCACCTCAAAATAAAAAATATTAATAAGCAACATGAAAAACATCTAATTTTGGTATACATGTATTTCAGGATAAATTACTATCTGACTGTTTTGCTACTGACAATGTAAATTCTTTAAGTGATATTATTTGGGGCTCCTCCAAATTTTTTAAGTCCCATATGTACATACTAATTTTATTCATCAAAAGCTTTTCAATTTTTTTTGTCCCCACAATGTTTCTCTGAGGAAAATAGGGCAGCTATGATATAACCATTTTACAAAAAGGGAAACGGTGGTGTAGTGTAGGTGTGACTGACCACCATGGTTCAATTTACCAGCCAGAGAAGAACACATCTGAGATTACAACAACTTGGCTTTACCCATGGCCAAGCAAACCACAAAACCAAGGATTCTTTGGCCACCTCCTGCAAGTAACAGACTATTTGAGGAAGTGGAAAGTTATTAAGACTCACTTCAAAGTGTAAAGGAAAAGCAGAGTACTTGGTCAAGGAGACATCTTACCCATTCTTACCCTCTCCCTGAATAGGAGGCTGCCTCAGTAGTGGTGAACCAGTGTCTGTCATTTCTAGATTTTAAAACCATGTTGGCACTGAAAGGAGCATCAGGCAAAGAGAGGCTGCCTGGTAGCTCCTATTACATTTTTGCAATTGTTTGAAGAGCCCCTCACTGCTCAGGTTAGAGTTAGGCAGGACACTGTAGGCCTCTTCAGGCTAGCTCACCTTCCAAAACCTAACTGTCCTTAATAATGACAGTGTGCAAAAGAAGAAGGGGGGGGGGGTAAAGAAGAGGTTACTAAAATGGAGATGGTTTCTTAAATAAGCATGAACTCTATAAATTAGGTGTTGGCCCGAAGATCTGTGGAGTAATTTGCATTCAGCTTTTATTCTGGGTGAGGAGGGCAGAGAGGGAAGGGGCTTAGCGCGTTCTGCTGAGAGGAGTCCTGAAATGACTTCCTTGGAAATTCTACCTTGCTACCTCCTACCCTGAGAAAACTTTTTTTGTGGCGATGAGGGTAGGTTAGGTTGGATAGGAGGTGAGGTAGACTGGACCAAAACTTGGGAGTATTTGGGAGACTGGTTGTGTGCTTGAGGGAGGGGTGGATGTCTTGGGTACCCCCTCCCCCTCTGGCTCTCAGACCTCTGAGTACAGACCATTCTCTCTGGAGTCCACGTTTACAAGGCTCAAGCAGATCCTTTATCGAAAGAAAAATATAAGAAGCCTATTGCCTTGGTCTATTGAGCAGGGCTGCTGTTTTCTTCTGTGCCCCCTTGAGCTTGCTGGTCTGTACGGGGACAGGCATGGGCAGACATCTAGGGAAGGGGGAAAGCTTGTAGAGGGCAAGGAATGTGGCCCCTACCAGGACCCACAGCATCTGTCAATGAATCTCGGGGAAACCCTCTTTAGCTCTACACTCCCACCCCAACATCACCTCCCCTCAGCTCCCCGCTCCCTCTTTCTCCAGCTCCGGGCTCCCACTCCAGCAGCTCCTCCCAGCTCGCTCCCTTCCCCAGCAGCTCCTCCCCCATCTCCCCTCTCCCTGCTTCTCGCTCCAGCTCCTCCCCTCCTCCGCGCTCCTCGCTCCCCCTCCCCCTCCGCTGCTCCCTGCCCCCGCCGCCGCCGATCTCCATCTCCGCAGTCTGGGCCGCTGGGTGCAGAGACTGCTGCAGCCCCGGCGGCCACCACCGCCGCCCCCAATCCCGATCCCCATTGTCTCCCACCCCACCGGCCCTCCACCTCCCCCACAGCCATGGCGCACGAAGCCGGGAGGAGCTCTCGTTTGGGGGGGCCCTGCGGGGAGCCGGCGGAGCTCGGAGGTGCGGTAGGGCCCAGGTCGGGCAACGATGGTGGGGGAGGGGACGCGCGGGGGAAGGACTTTCGCTGGACGGGATTAAATGCACGGTTCTCTGCATAGGCCCCCATGCACACACCCATCCCTCGCAACCCATCCCTCGCACTCGCAGGCGGCCCAGGACGGAGGGGGGTGGGCAACGAGGGAGGGGGGATAGTGTGCGCGTGCCCCCGCCCCCCCCCAGCTGAGGTGTCTCTTGTCTTAGCGGGTCAGGACTGAGCTCTAGCCATCTCCAAGGCCTGATGAGCTCATCTCCCCACCCCCAACTGGCCTGTTACTGGGCTCGTCGTTAATGAGAGTCTCTGTAGACCATCCCAGCCGCACCACCCACGCTCTCTCTCCTTGTCTTCTCCCCAGGTGATGCTAGCGAGGAGGACCACCCCCAAGTCTGTGCCAAGTGCTGCGCACAATTTACTGACCCAGCTGAATTCCTCGCCCACCAGAACGCATGCTCTACTGACCCCCCTGTAATGGTGATAATTGGAGGCCCGGAAAACCCTAACAACTCTTCTTCCTCCTCTGAACCCAGGCCCGAGGGCCACAATAGTCCCCAGGTCATGGACGCAGAGCACAGCAATGCCCCGGATTCTGGGTCCTTGGTGCCCACAGATCCCACCTGGGTCCCAGAGCGGAGAGGAGAGGAGCCTGCTGGGCACTTCCTGGTGGCTGCCTCAGGTACAGCAGCCGGGGGAGGTGGGGGCCTAATCTTGGCCAGTCCCAAACTGGGTGCAACCCCATTACCTCCAGAGTCAACCACTGCACCCCCTCCTCCCCCACCGCCTCCTCCGCCCCCGGGTGTAGGCAGTGGCCACTTGAACATCCCTCTAATTCTTGAAGAGCTGCGGGTGCTGCAGCAGCGGCAAATCCATCAGATGCAGATGACTGAGCAAATCTGTCGCCAAGTGCTGCTGCTTGGCTCCTTAGGCCAGTCGGTTGGTGCCCCTGCCAGTCCCTCAGAGCTACCTGGGACAGGGACCACATCCTCCACCAAACCCTTGCTACCCCTCTTCAGCCCCATCAAGCCAGTCCAAACTGGCAAGACACTGGCACCTTCCTCCTCCTCCTCAGGGGCAGAAACGCCCAAGCAAGCTTTCTTCCACCTTTACCACCCACTGGGGACACAGCACCCCTTCTCTGCTGGAGGGGTTGGGCGGAGTCACAAGCCCACCCCTGCCCCATCTCCCGCTCTGCCTGGCAGCACAGATCAGCTGATTGCCTCACCTCACCTGGCATTCCCAGGCACCACAGGACTATTGGCAGCACAGTGTCTTGGGACAGCCCGTGGCCTTGAGGCCACTTCCTCCCCAGGGCTCCTGAAGCCAAAGAATGGAAGTGGTGAGCTGGGCTATGGGGAGGTGATGGGTCCGTTGGAGAAGCCTGGTGGACGGCATAAATGCCGCTTCTGCGCCAAAGTGTTTGGCAGTGACAGCGCCCTGCAGATTCACCTGCGCTCCCACACAGGTGAGAGGCCCTACAAGTGCAATGTTTGTGGCAACCGCTTTACCACCCGTGGCAACCTGAAAGTGCACTTCCACCGGCACCGTGAGAAGTATCCACATGTGCAGATGAACCCACACCCAGTGCCAGAGCACCTAGACTATGTCATCACCAGCAGCGGCCTGCCCTACGGTATGTCTGTGCCACCAGAGAAGGCCGAGGAGGAGGCTACACCAGGTGGAGCTGTTGAACGCAAGCCTCTGGTGGCCTCTACCACAGCACTCAGTGCCACAGAGAGCCTGACGCTGCTCTCCACCAGTGCAGGCACAGCCACAGCTCCTGGGCTCCCTGCTTTCAATAAGTTTGTGCTCATGAAAGCTGTGGAGCCCAAGAGTAAAGCTGATGAAAACACCCCTCCAGGGAGCGAGGGCTCAGCCATCACCAGTGTGGCAGAAAGTGGCACAGCAACCCGCATGCAGCTAAGTAAACTGGTGACTTCACTACCCAGCTGGGCTCTGCTTACCAACCATTTCAAGTCCACTGGCAGCTTCCCCTTCCCCTATGTGCTAGAGCCCTTGGGGGCACTGCCCTCTGAGACATCAAAGCTGCAGCAGCTGGTAGAAAAGATTGACCGTCAAGGTGCTGTGGCAGTGGCCTCTACTGCCTCAGGAGCCCCCACCACCTCTGCCCCTGCAGTTTCATCCTCAGCCTCATCTGGACCTAACCAGTGTGTCATCTGTCTCCGAGTGCTCAGCTGTCCTCGGGCATTACGCTTGCATTATGGCCAACATGGAGGTGAGCGGCCCTTCAAATGCAAAGTGTGTGGCAGAGCCTTCTCCACACGGGGCAATCTGCGTGCACATTTTGTGGGCCACAAGGCCAGTCCAGCTGCCCGGGCCCAGAACTCCTGCCCCATCTGCCAGAAGAAGTTCACCAATGCTGTCACTCTACAGCAGCATGTTCGCATGCACCTGGGGGGCCAGATCCCCAATGGTGGTACCACACTCTCTGAAAGTGGGGGAGCTGCCCAGGAGAATGGTTCAGAGCAATCTGCGGGCTCTGGGGCAGGGAGCTTTCCCCAGCAACAATCCCAGCAGCCATCCCCAGAAGAGTTGTCTGAGGAGGAGGAGGAGGAGGAAGAAGAAGAGGATGATGTGACAGATGAAGATTCCCTGGCAGGCAGGGGCTCAGAGAGCGGAGGTGAGAAGCCAATATCCGTACGAGGTGATTCGGAAGAGGCATCTGGGGCAGAGGAGGAAGTGGCAACAGTGGCCACAAGTGGGAAGGAGGTGGATAGTAATGAGAAAGCTGCTCAACAGTCTTCTCTGCCACCACCACCACCACCACCACCTGACAGTCTGGATCAACCACAGCCAATGGAGCAGGGAAGCAGTGAGGTTGCAGGAGGCATGGAAGAGGGAGGCAAACCAGAAAGGAGCCCAAGCCCACTGTCAGCACTCACCCTAGAAGGAGAAGGCACCAGTACCAACTTGGTGGAAGGCCTGGGCATGCAGGAAGCAATAAGAAAGGAGCCAAGTGAGAGCAGCAGCAGAAAGGCCTGTGAAGTGTGTGGCCAGACCTTTCCCACACAGGCAGCTCTGGAGGAGCATCAAAAGACCCACTCGAAAGATGGGCCACTCTTCACCTGTATTTTCTGCAAGCAGGGCTTTCTCGAGCGGGCTACCCTCAAGAAGCATATGCTGTTGGCTCACCACCAGGTACAGCCCTTTGCCCCCCATGGTCCTCAGAATATTGCTGCACTTTCCTTGGTCCCAGGCTGTTCACCCTCCATCACTTCCCCCGGGCTCTCCCCCTTTCCCCGGAAAGATGACCCTACTATCCCATGAACCTGTTCTCAGTATCTGCTGCCTGTTGAGCCAAGGAGCAGAAACAGAGAGCTCCATAGAGGACCTCCAAGATTTATGAGCCCTTATTTGTCCTCTTACATGGTATATCCCTAGTGACTTTTCTCTAGTCCCTGAGTTTGGAAATTGTTATGCTCACTGGGGAATGACCCCCTAAGGAATTTTTCTCTCTTCTTCATTGTACCTGAGGAAAATAGATTCTCTACAGCTCTCACATTCCCACAGGGAATACTCTGCAGCTTCCCTGGGGCAGCCCTTTCTCCCCCCCTCCTCCCTTCTCCCTTTCCCAGGTGCACCTGAGCTTCAGCATTTGGAATTATAGCCCAGCCAGAGGGGCCAGCATCTGTCCCTAGAGAGCCCGATACCACCCCTCTCTGATGATCAGGTCAACCTTTAGGACTTTGTGTCCCAGGACATTCCTCCTCAGCTGGTAGGGGTGGCTCCCCTGCCTTTCTGAAGCCAATACATGGCTTTCCTGTCACATGGCCTGCCCATCAAGCCGTGGAATTCCAGCTCCTCCTATTCTACTCCAGTCCTTGCACCACCAATGCTGTTTGGCCCAAGGACTATGGCTGGGAAGGTGCTTCCAGGAACAGGATCAGAGAGGCCAAGGAGAAGACAGCCTCCTCCTTCTTTTTCAGCCTGCTGCATACAAGGCAGTGTCTGAAAACATCCCCATAGAAGAGAAGTAGGAAACTGTACATTCCTCCTACCCCAGGCTCTAGAAATTGACATCAGTGAAGATGCTGCAGTCAGTAACTGGTGGCTCAGCTCTAGGGGTAGGGAGAAGCAAAGAACATAGGACACTCTTCCAGTAAACCCCTGATAGTCACATTAAGGCAGAGATGTTGACTGGTTGATAAGCCAGTTTCTTCATATTCCCTCATTATGAAAACCTGGGAAGCAAGCAGACTGCTTGCCAAGAGGTTTTCCATGGACTATTTTGGGAAATGTGAAGTTGGTTCATATCTTTAAGGAGCATTGTTGGTGAGGGTAATTGGAATAATAATGGAGAGTTGGAGTGTTGCTAAAGCATAGAACTTTATGAGAATCTATGTGATTAAGAAAGGGATGTGATAACAAGGGAGGGGACTTCAAATTCTGATTGGATGGATCTCATGAATGTTTGACATAGTGTGCAGCAGTGCAGCAGGGATCGTGGGGGATTTCCTTGCACTAGTGTTCTAGTTTTAGATAACTCCCTCCTTTCTTCCCTGGCCCCTTGTATTTTCCTTACCTTCCTCTCTCAAGACCCCTTTCCGCCTCCCCATTTTGCCTGTTTATGAACTGGGGCTTGTGTGTTTACCACTGTCTGGTTCTTAGAGTCCCAGACATTGGGAGACCAACTCCAGGTGGTATCCTTCCTGCTTCTCCTTCTTGTAATGAGATGTAGTATTTACTCTTAACATAGGATCATTTGGAACAGGAGTCCTGAGGAGGAGGAAGTGAGAGTTCTGCTATACTGATTTGAATGATGGCTTCTCCTCCAATGGTATAGGCTCCAAAGCTTCCTAACATAGTAAACTGTAAAGAGCAGACAAGGGAGATATTAGTGTCTTTCCCTCTATCATTAAAGGTGTTTTGACCAAATATCTGTGTGTTTCTCCTTATTTCTTGACAAAATAGCCAGCTGGAGTGTGATTTCGGCCTTCCCTAACATTGAGATTCCCTTCCCACTTACATCTCCTGCCAAAGCTGAACATATGGTGTTGAAATATTTAATTTATTCAGCCTTGTCCTAAAACAACCTCAGTGAATGTAATTTCTGTAGAAATGGAGTTCATGTTCTCAAAGTAGGGGATTTGCCCACTGTGTCCAGTAAGTTTTAGGTTTTCTCTTTGCCAATGCAAACTAGAACCTTTCATTGCTAGGGTTTTATGTTTATTTTGTTGGGAGTTTGGAAGCTGTTTCTTTACCATACTTCCTTACATCTACCTCAGGTCAGCAGCCTATCTGACATCAGTTAATCTGTGAACCAAGGTGAATTAATTTCATGATCCTTCAAATCTGATGTTGTAAACTAAAAGGAAAAAAAAGTGATCCAACTTTAACAATTTCTACCAACAAGATAAAGGAGGATTCTTAGTATTTAGGAGTGAAAAGAAGCAAGTTGTGTGTGTGTGTGTGTGTGTGTGTGTTTACCTTCATCTCTCCACAGCATGGTAAAGTTCAGATTTGTCTCCAAGACCTTGCTTTCTTTCTTTTTTTTTTTTTTTTTATTAGGATTTGGGTGAAGATTTACAGAGTAAATTCACTTTTCATACAGCAGTTCACATATACTTTGTCTCATGT